TCTTCTCAGCTGCAGCAAGGCACTCCTCTAGCAAGTCGACAGTCAGCTCGGTGGGGCAAAGGGAGAGGAAGTGATCCCTGACTGAGGAGAGAGAGTCAGGGAGGCGGGTGACTAGGTAGTAAAGGGTGATGTACATGGGGGGGGAGTTCGTGGGAAGGAACTCAGTGGGAAGGGCAGCGTGGTAGCGAGCGTCACTAGTGCGGAGGTGAGCAACTAGGTCAGCAACTGTGGCAAAGGCGGCAAGGTCAGGAAAAAGGTACGGCAGCATGAGGCGGCTGAGGGCAGCAGTGGTAGGGGAGGAGTAGCGTGCAACTACAGCGTCGTACAGAGCCCTAGCACTCTTGTACTGACTAAAGTGCGTGCGTTCAGTAGACGGCAGGTGATTACGCACAGCAAGACGAGCAGCAGCATTGCGCGTGAGCCACTGCGAGCGAACAGTACTGTCAGCATCAGCAGCAGGGGCAGTATAGGCGCCAGACGTGAGATCGAACAGTGAGAGACCATCCTTGCTATCGCACTGTAGGAAAAGCTGCAGATCATCTAGCCAGACCTCAAAGTCAACAGCTCGACCCTCAGCATCAAAGGTAAGAACATGGAGACTAGCCATGACAGGAGAAGCAGTAGGCTAGCAGCAGCAGCAGCGCAACTCGGCTAAGCAGGCTAGGCAGGGCGGCGCCGCTCGGCAGGGCGGCGCGGCTCGGCAGCGCGGCGCTCTTACCAGGGGCGAGGCCGGGGCAGGGCCGGGGTAGGGCCGGGGCCGGGCCGCAAAAGATCAGGGGCCGGGTTGGGGCAGGGCCGCGACAGTTCAGGAGCAGGGCAGGGGCAGGGCCGGGGCAGGGCCGGGGCAGAGCCGGGGCAGGGCCGGGGCAGGGTCAGAGCAGGCCTGGGGCAGGGCCGGGGCAGGGCCGGGGCAGGGCCGGGGCAGAGCCGGGGCAGGGCCGGGGCAGGGTCGGAGCAGGGCCGGGACAGGGCCGGGGCGAGGCCGCGACAGGTTCGGGGCAGGGCCGGGCCGGGCCGCAGCAGTGCAGGAGCAGGGCAGGGGCAGGGCAGGGGCAGGGTCGGGGCAGAGCCGGGGCAGGGCCGGGGCCGGGTCGGAGCAGGGCCGTAGAAGGGGCCGGGACAGGGCTGCGACAGGTTGGGGTAGGGCCGGGGCAGGGCCGGAACAGGGCCGCAACAGGGTGGGTGGGGGCCTGACGGGGCCTGACGGGGCCTTACGAGGCCTGACGGGGCCTGACGGGGCCGCTAACGGGGCCTGACTGGGCCTTACGGGGCCTGACGGGGCCTGACGGGGCCGCTAACGGGGCCGTAAACGGGGCCTGACGGGGCCTTACCGGGCCTTACGGGGCCGTAAACGGGGCCTTACGGGGCCTTAAGCGGGGCCGTAAACGGGGCCTTACGGGACCTAACGGGGCCTGACAGGGCCTTACGGGGCCGTAAACGGGGCCGACGGGGCCTTACGGGGCCTTACGGGGCCTTAAGCGGGGCCGTAAACGGGGCCTTACGGGGCCTATCGGGGCCTTACGGGGCCATACGGGGCCGTAAACGGGGCCGACGGGGCCTTGTGGGGCCTTACGGGGCCTTAAGCGGGGCCGTAAACGAGGCCTTACGGGACCTAACGGGGCCTTACAGGGCCTTACGGGGCCGGAAACGGGGCCGACGGGGCCTTACGGGGCCGTAAACGGGGCCGACGGGGCATTACGGGGCCTTACGGGGCCTTAAGCGGGGCCGTAAACGGGGCCTTACGGGACCTAACGGGGCCGTACGGGGCCTTACGGGGCCGTAAACGGGGCCGACGGGGCCTTAAGGGGCCTTACGGGGCCGTAAGCGGGGCCGTAAACGGGGCCTTACGGGGCCTAACGGGGCCTTACTGGGCCGTAAACGGGGCCTGACGGGGCCTTACGGGGCCTTACGGGGCCTTACGGGGCCTTAAGGGTAGGCGCGACGCGCGCGTCAGGAAGGTAAGAAGGATTTCAGTGGTGGGCCCTTTAAAAAAAAACTCGAAACTAGCTCTATACCATGTGAGATAATTGACGAGAAAGAGTGATTGAACTAGAAAGGAGAAGGGTACAAATAGAAAACACAAAAGTGTTGTACCCTCTAAGGACTACCCCACTACAGCCTAAACAGACTATAGTAGATATAAGTTTGACACGGGCGCTGGGCGCGGAACGGGGCCAGGCGCGGGCTAGGTACTGGGCCGGGCGCGAGGCTAGGTACGGGGCCGGGGCGCGGGCTAAGTACGGGGCCGGGCGCCGGGCAGGTACGGGGCCGGGCGCTGGGCAGGTACAGGGCCGGGCGCTGGGCAGGTACGGGGCCGGGCGCTGGGCAGGTACGGGGCCGGGCGCTGGGCAGGTACGGGGCCGGGCGCTGGGCAGGAACGGGGCCGGGCGCTGGGCAGGTACGGGGCCGGGCGCTGGGCAGGTACGGGGCCGGGCGTTGGGCAGGTACAGGGCCGGGCGCGAGGCTAGGGACGGGGCCGGGCGCTGGGCAAGGGATGGGGCCGAGCGACGGGCTAGGTACAGGCCGGTCGCGGGCTAAGTACGGGCCGGGCGCGGGCTAGGTACGGAGCCAGGTGCAGGCGAGGTAAGGGCCGGGCGCGGGCTAGGTACGGGGCCGGGCGTTGGGCGCGGAACTGAGGCCGGGCGCGAGGCTAGGTACGGGCCGATCGCGGGCTAGGTACAGGGCCAGGCGCGGGCGAGGTACGGGCCGGGCGCGGGGCTAGGAACGGGGCCGAGCGCGGGCTAGGTACGGGCCGATCGCGGGCTAAGTACGGGCCGGGCGCGGGGCGACGAAGTCGACGGGGCCAGCGGGGCCGAGGGGCACAGCTAGGGGCGATGCCAAGGGGCGACGGGCCGGGGCCTAGGCTAGAAGGGCATTAGGTGGTGGGCCCATTGATGTTAGGTCCTAGGAAAGTTATGCTCTTAATACCATGTTAGAATACTAGCGTGAGTTAGGAGCCATGGCTAGTGAGTGTCGAGAGAATTGAGTGTCGAGAGAATTGAGTGTCGAGAGGAATGATGGGTTTCACTATAGCACACAAGGTACATATAGCAAAATGAACAAAGGTGCACCACCAAACAATAGGAGCTACACTACAGAAAATCCTACAGGCAGTTATATAACAGAACATATAATTATATTTTCTGACAAAAGACCTTGTACTTCTCTGCTATTATTAACTTATCTTGTTCTCACAAACTAGCACAAGGTGGTTCACGACAACTCTTTATTAAATGCTTCCGCTATTACAACTCTACGTCAACACCCGATCTTAGTCCTAAAAAGGGTTCTAAGGGCTTTTCTCAGCCCAACAGTCGTCACTGTATCGAACCGCAACAGCAGAAACAGTTAAAGTAAAACCTTTCATATATTCCTTTGTAATCATATAAAAGCTTTGTATCTCTCTGCTATTATCAACTTATCTTGTTCTCGCATACCAGTACAAGGTGGTTTAGCAAACTCTGACATTACGCTTCCGCTAACTACAACATTCCTACTACAATAGATCTTAGCCTTGAAAAGATCCTAAGGGCTATTTCTCAGCCCAACAGAGACCAAGTGTTACGAGTGCAATTGAGCGAGCGAGCGAGAATTGCACTATCGAAGCAAACAATACAATGAGCGAAGGCATGCGCGAAGAATATATAGCGAACTAGAGTGGTAACGGTAACGCGAGAAATTGGGGTGCGCTACGGGCCTAGCACCGAGGTTGGGATATGTCGAGGCGGAGGTCCGGAGCGCGGGTTACCAACCGAGCCGTGAGGTTGGGTCGCATCGTGAACAGTGGCGGGAGTTGTAGTCGAGGCGAGTGTCGCGAGCGAGTAACGTTTCACTGTTTGGGTGCCGATGGCGGGAATAGTCTTGTACGCGGTAAGCAGGGGCACGAAGTAAGGAAAAGGAAATTTCCTTACAGATTCGAACTTTCGAGCCATCTCTGAAGCAGTCACGTTCATACTTTTTTCCCTCAAACAAGAAGCTACTATCAGAACAAAAGAATGATCAGTATTTACAATATGTACAAGAGACTGGCCTACAGTACGTAATTCAACCATCCCAAAACCCTGCTGTCTACAGTAGCACAGTAGCCAACCATACTACCCACATCAGAAGCTACTACAGTCAGAGGCAGGGCCTCAGATTGGTTTTTGTGTACCCTGAGCACTCAGTGTCCCTAGGCGGGTAACACTGATTTTCAGTGTCGTCTAGTGTGAAACACTGAATTTACAGGGTTGTTAGAAATAAAACGCTGATCAATCAGGGTTTCTACAACTTCAACACTGATCAGCATAGTTGCTTATACTGGTATGCTGTCATAACACAGCGAATCAGACTGCCCTCACTTTACAATTCCCAATTTCGGCCAGGATTCTGCTATTTCCGTATCTGATTGGTCAGAAATCTTGTCTGACCAATCGAATAGGACAATTGTTAAAATTGTTTCTGATCTCTGGTTGTGTACTTGACTGATGATTCGGACTTGGTTAGTCACAGCAGATTCGCCCTGACGGCAAATTCGACCTCGCACAGTCGTTACGCGCTGTCGCAGCACAGCAAATTCGCCCAATCACAGCAGATTTGCTCTGACACAGCAGCAGATTCGCCCCTCACACAAGAGATTCGCCCTGTCAGAGCATGTTTCGCCAGAAATCCCCTTGGTGCACGGTGCACAGTGACGGCGCGCCAAAACAAGGAGTTTTCGGTTTCAGGGTAGACCCCGATACAACACCGACTCGTCAGTGTCCTCAAACACAAAACACTAGAAAATCAGAGTTCGAAATTTAATAACACTGAAACATCAGGGTCGTTGAAAAAAAAAGGCTGATGCATCAGGGTCATGATAAAAAACGGGGGTCAAACTTCAGGAATTCAGGGTAAAATTCCTGACATCTGAGGCCCTGGTCAGAGGTCAGTAGCACAGCAACAGCAGCAGCACGCGGAGGAGCGGGACGGGAGGAGTAAACAGCATACCCCACCCCAGCACCTCATTGCTGCAAAAACGCTCACGCCAGCAGCTGAGCCTCAATCTCTCGACCAAAACTGCTCTCATCAAAACTGAATCCCTCAGGATCACACCTGGCACCATCCTCAGAACCATCACCATCACCAGCAGCATCAGCATCAGCAGCAGCGTCAGAATCAAAATCTGCTCCATCATCTTCATCAGAACTCCCCACTGCTGCTGATTCTCCAACCCCCTCCTCTCCCTCCTCCTCCCCCCCCTCATCCTCCTCCCTCCCCTCATCCTCCTCCCTCCATTCATGCGACTCGGAGTCTTTCCCAGAAGCTTCTCCAGTCGCCACATCAGTCTCCTCCCCCGCTTCCTCAACTCCTCCTTCCGACTCCTCCACTGCTGCATACTCAAGGCCCAGATCAATCGAATCACAACCGTTCATCCATGCAGATGGCACATCCTGCTGCTGCACCCCTTGCTTCCCTTTCCCCTCATCCTCCTCCTGCTGCTTCTTAACTACCTGCGTCTCCCCCTCCTCTGCAGCTCTAACACCGCTCTCCACCACTCTGGACCACGGACTGTACACTGATGGGGCAGCAGTGGAGCTCTCGTGGGAATCCGCTCGCACCAGCACCTGCAAACCCTCATCCTCGCTAAAAGCCTCCTCCGTATAGTCCTCAAGTTCGTCCTTCTTTTCCATCCCCTCCTCTTCTCCGCCCCCCTCAAGCTCCTCCAGCACCCAATTGGGTAAAACACCCCATTGGGTTGAAACACCATCCCGGGGTAAAACACCCTCGCTGGGTAAATCACCCTCGTGGGCATGCGGAGGAGATGCCTTCAGCAGCCAATCAAAGGGATCCGTTCCATCTTCCCCCTCCCCCTCGTCCCCCACACCTTCCCCCTCCCCATCCCCTTCCCCTGCTTCCCTCGTTCCCCCTACCGTTTCAAGCCACTCCCTCATCGCGCGCTTCGTGCTGTAAGAAACCTGCCACGTGTCCTCCAGCAAACCCAACTCAGCAACCCCCGTCCCTGGATGCGCCACGTCAGCAGGAAGTTCTGTTCCAGCAGCACACGCGTCCGGCACTCCCTGCGCCGCCTGGAGACCCGCCAGGTCAGCGCCCACGTGGCGCTCCGGCGTGTGATACGGCGTTATGTGTGGCGTATGATACGGCGTCGCAGAGCCATCCAGCGCTACAGCCGGCACCTCGGCTACAGCGTCTGCTGCAGCCGGCAACTCAGCTACAGCCGTCGCATGGGCCCAGCCCGCGAGCAATCCCGCTGCAAGGCTTCCCGACACGAGGCTCGTCTCTGCATCTGCGCCGCCACCTTTCGTCGCACCAGCAGGTTCCTGGTCCTTCTCTTCCGCTACGATCCTCTCCGCGTCACGCTTCGTCTCCTTCACTCCTGGAGTCTCGACCTCTGCCCGCGATGCATCGTCTGCCCGTGAATCTGCCCGCTGCGCTTCCTTGCCCGTCCGCAGACGCTTGCCTGCCCGCAGCACCTCCCAAGTGTCACTTTCTTGAAGCTTTAAATCCCGCGGCTCGTCAACCTCCTCCGCTACTCCTGGAAGCCGATTAAAGCGGTCGTACGGCGTCGACAGTAAGAATTTGTCGGAGCGCGCAGCCGAGTTTTCCAGCCAGACAGCGCCACCAGCGCCGGCGGAACCAGACGGGCCGTCGAATCGCGGCTGACGGAAGGAGAACGAGAACCCGCGAGATGCGGATGCGTCGTCAGACGGAAAAACGAGAGTCGCCGCCGCCGTCGCTTCCGCCGCGTCAGCCGCTGCGACAACGTCTGCTCGCGAGTACTGCGCTATGAGATTGTTGATATGCGCCGATGAGTCGATTCGCGGCACGTCCACCGCATCCCCGTTATAGTCTTCCACCGCATCCTCCGCCGAGCCTGCTGGAGCCGCCGTAGCGAAGAGTCCGCTGGCCGCGACATAATCTGTCGGATAAATCGAGTACGTCAGTCCGTGATTCCATAACGGATCAGCGAACCGCTCCTCGTATAAAACCGGCGAGTCGGCCAAAGCGCCTGCTAAGGACCCTCCTAGTAAAGAGCCTGCTAGAAGTCCCGAGTTCGACTCCCACACAGGACTCACCACACCAGAGGGACCCGACGGGAAGGCCACGTCAGCTTCCGCGGCTGCCGCAGGCAGGAGCTCCGGAAAAGCCGACATCTGAGTCGAGTCAAGAAAAGCCGCACCGCGAGACCGAGCCTGCTCTGCAGCACCCGCAGACGCGACGTAAACGCCGTTACTCTTTCCGTTCATCATGCGACTAGATCGCTGTTCCTTACGCTGGGCAAGCTCTGAAAACCCGTCCTGCCTCTCGTCTCTTCGGCGCTTCAACGAACCGCAACCTACACTTAAAAAAGGCATCGCCGGCGAGTGCGTACTCGACTGATATGATGCGAATCTGGGCTCGGAACTAGCGTCTATCCAGTGTCGCGCTAAGCCTGCTGCACCGCGCGCTTCCCCTGATCTCACCAGAGACAGAGACGCATAGAGCACCTGCTGGTAGTGGTGCGAGAGGCAGGGTGCGTTCTGGTGCCTCCGCTTGTCTCCCTCCCTCATTCCCCGTCTGCACGTTCCCTTCTCACCCCCGCCTTGATTTCACCTGGGACGGGGAGCGCATAGGGGGCCTGCTGGCAGTGGTGCGAGAGGTAGTTGAGGCAGTCGTTCCTTCCCTCATTCCCCTCATACCCCTTCTCCCCACTCCTTCCTCTGCCGTTCCTCCCTCTCGTCCCACCAGAGACCGAGAGGCTATGGAGGAATTTCTGGCAGTGGTGTGAGAGGCAGTGGAGTCATTCGTCCCTTCCCTCGTTCCCCTCATACTCCTCCCCACTCCTTCCTCTGCCGTTCCTCCCTCTCCTCCCACCAGAGACTGGGAGGCTATGGAGGAATTTCTGGCAGTGGTGTGAGAGGCAGTGGAGGCGGTCGTTCCTACCCTCGTTCCCCTCATACCCCTTGTGCGTGTTCTTCTTCCCTCCCTCCTCATCCCCCTCTCTCCCTTCATCCCCCTTTTCCTTCTATTTCACCAGAGACGGGGAGGGCATAGAGAATTTGCTGACGGTGGTGCGAGAGGCAGTGGAGGCGGAGAGGAGGGGGGAGCTGCGGGGAGGGGAGGGGAGGTTTGGGGGGAGAGTGGGGGGGAGAGGAGGGATGGCTCGGAGGAGCAGCAGGGGGGTGCAGGGAGGGGTGGAGAGAGAGAAGGCACCTCAGTGGCAGCTGTGACTTTGTTTAGGGAAGCATTATCTTGGGATGTTTTAAAAGGTTGTGTAGTCTTATATTTTACGGTGCAGGCAAGAGCTGGGGTGGTGAAGTGATTGTTACTATTGTGGTATCGTCGAATCTATTTTCTCTAAATTGCGGAATATGCAGCATTTTCTATGATAATTTTTATCTGAACCCAACCCAGAGCGTCTCAAGATGTCTGCCCAACTGAGCATTCAACCATTAAGTCTCTCATCATTTTATCATTCCATAAAAAAAATGAATTACCTATTGCGCATTGAATTGCTTCGTATTATTTACTGTAATACCGCGCTAATTTCGGATTTCGCTCACTTCACCACAGTGGGTTGGGCTATTGTCGCGCTGGCAACTTGTCAGAAAGCCCGAGTCTGACAGGGAGGAGGCGTTTGCAAACTTTGCAATCTGTGTGTTCCCTGCAATCGTGGACCTTTGTGAGAAACGTGCGACACACGATAGCGAGGTCCAGTCCAGGTCATACAGCAGCGTGGTCGTTTGGCGCCAACAATCTGGGTCACGGACTTTCTGACAGGGTTCGGTGGAACTCAAAATCTTTGTCCGGGCAAGCGAAGAGGCCCAAACGCCAGCACATGGCCAATCAAAACGTTGCAGTGACGTGTTCCAACAAGAAACGGCAGGTGTGCCGGCCATGCTGAACAAGGCGGCTCGAGATAAACTAAATTTGAGAATACACACGATGCTCGTTTGACTAACCCAAGGTTGCCTTGTAAAGGTGCTTTTAACTGATTCTCCACATGTCGCAAATATCGTCAACGTCGCACCTAGAAAAGAAGGGCTCCTGATCTGGGGAATCGATCCCTAGGGGAATCCATCCCTAGGGGAATCCATCCCTAGGGGAATCCATCCCTAGGGGAATCCATCCCTAGGGGAATCCATCCCTAGGGGAATCCATCCCTAGGGGAATCCATCCCTAGGGGAATCCATCCCTAGGGGAATCCATCCCTAGGGGAATCCATCCCTAGGGGAATCCATCCCTAGGGGAATCCATCCCTAGGGGAATCCATCCCTAGGGGAATCCATCCCTAGGGGAATCCATCCCTAGGGGAATCCATCCCTAGGGGAATCCATCCCTAGGGGAATCCATCCCTAGGGGAATCCATCCCTAGGGGAATCCATCCCTAGGGGAATCCATCCCTAGGGGAATCCATCCCTAGGGGAATCCATCCCTAGGGGAATCCATCCCTAGGGGAATCCATCCCTAGGGGAATCCATCCCTAGGGGAATCCATCCCTAGGGGAATCCATCCCTAGGGGAATCCATCCCTAGGGGAATCCATCCCTAGGGGAATCCATCCCTAGGGGAATCCATCCCTAGGGGAATCCATCCCTAGGGGAATCCATCCCTAGGGGAATCCATCCCTAGGGGAATCCATCCCTAGGGGAATCCATCCCTAGGGGAATCCATCCCTAGGGGAATCCATCCCTAGGGGAATCCATCCCTAGGGGAATCCATCCCTAGGGGAATCCATCCCTAGGGGAATCCATCCCTAGGGGAATCCATCCCTAGGGGAATCCATCCCTAGGGGAATCCATCCCTAGGGGAATCCATCCCTAGGGGAATCCATCCCTAGGGGAATCCATCCCTAGGGGAATCCATCCCTAGGGGAATCCATCCCTAGGGGAATCCATCCCTAGGGGAATCCATCCCTAGGGGAATCCATCCCTAGGGGAATCCATCCCTAGGGGAATCCATCCCTAGGGGAATCCATCCCTAGGGGAATCCATCCCTAGGGGAATCCATCCCTAGGGGAATCCATCCCTAGGGGAATCCATCACAGAGACATGCTATGGCACGATTATGGTGGTACGGTATGGAATGATGTGGCATGGTAAGGCATGACAGGGCAAGGGGGAGGGCTCACCTGGGGTAGGTCTATTGTGTTCACAGTGCATTGGACATGGAATGGCAAGGGGGAGGAGGGCTCACCTGGGGGAGGTCTATTGTGTTCACCGTGCATTGGACACTGCAGGGCAAGGGGGAGGGCTCACTTCGGGGAGGTCTATCTTGTTGAGCACGAGAATATGCGGGCGTGAAGTGTACTCTGGGTTGTACATCCTTAGCTCCTGACAAACAGAGGCACGCGGACATCGGTAGCAGAAAAAAAGGGGTTGGGAAAAAAAGGGGTTGGGAAAGAAAGGGGTTGGGAAAGACAAGGGTTGCGAATCTTGTTGAGCATGAGAATATGGGGGCGGGATGTGTACTCTGGGTTGTACATCCTTAGCTCCTGACAAACAGAGGTAGGAGGATATCGGCATCAGTTGGGAAAGACAAAGGTTGGGAATCTGAGAATATGGGGGTGGGACGTGTACTCTGGGCTGTACATCCTTACCTTAGTTCCTGAGAAACAGAGACGGGAGGAAATCGGTATCGGAAAGCAAAGAAGTTGGGGAAAGAGCACCACGTAGTCGCGAATAGGATCAGCCGAGCACGTGCAGCACAGCAGCACTCTCGAGAGTGACAAGAGAACAAGGTGACTTTTGAGTCGACTCAAAAGTCACCTCAGCACTCTCGAGAGTGACTAGAGAACAAGGTGACTTTTGAGTCGACTCAAAAGTCACCTCAGCACTCTCGAGAGTGACTAGAGAACAAGGTGCAAATGCCCTCCCATGCGCCCACCTCACCTCTCTCAACATGCGCCCACCTCACCTCTCTCAACATGCGCCCACCTCACCTCTCTCAACACCACGTAGTCATAACCAAGACGCATCGAGCACGTGCAGCAGCACTCAAGTGCAAAACAGAAAGCAGCCCTTTTTAATCATCCAGTCCCCTCACCTCACCTCACCTCACCTCACCTCACCTCACCTCACCTCACCTCACCTCTCTCAACACCACTTAGTCGTAAACAGGATCAGGAGCAGGCGCATCCAGCACATGCAGCAGCACCACTCGAGAGAGTGCCTAGCCGTTACCATCCCAACCCTTCCTCACCTCTCTCAACACCACGTAGTCATGAATAGGGTCAGGAGCAGAGGCGTCGAGCACATGGAGTAACACCAGGGTGCAACACAGCCCGTTCTAATTATTCACTTACCGCACCTCACCTAACCTCACCTCTCTCAACACCACGTAGGCATGAATGGGGTCACGCGCAGATGCGTCGAGCACGTGCAGCAGCACCCTGGTGCGGCGCAGGTGGCGAAGAAACATGCGACCCAGACCCTGGTAATAACGAGGGGGAGGAAGAGAGGGGGAGGAAGAGGAGGGGAGGGGGAAGGCCAGTTGGGAGAGAGTAGGGTGGTTGGAGGAACATGCATCGAGCACGTGCAGCAGCACCCTGGTGCGGCGCAGGTGGTGAAGAAACATGCGACCCAGACCCTGGTAATAACGAGAGGGAGGAAGAGGAGGGGAGGGGGAAGGCCAGTTGGGAGAGAGTAGGGTGGTTGGAGGAACATGCATCGAGCACGTGCAGCAGCACCCGGGTGCGGCGCAGGTGGCGAAGAAACATGCGACCCAGACCCTGAAGATGAGGTAATAATGTGTAAGGGAGGGGAAAGAAAATTGGGCGAAGACGGGCGGTTGGGAAGAGGCATCAATCACGTGCAGCAGCACCCTGGTGCGGCGCAGGTGGCACAGGAACATGCGAGCCAGACCCTGGTGATAATGGTGGAGGGGAGGAAGACAGGAGGGAGAAAGGAGGTTGAAGCAGAGAAGGGAGGTTGTAAAGAGGAATTCAGCACATGCATCAGCACCTGAGAGCAGCAGGTGGCACAGGAACCTGCGAGTCAGACCCTGGTATTAGTGAAAAGGGAGGTGGGGGGGAGGACAGAAGACGGGAAAGAGAAAGGCGGTTGGGAAGAGGTGGCGCAGGAACATGTGACCCAGTCCCTGGTGAGAGTGAGGGGGGCGGGGGGAAAGAGGAGGGGAGGGACAAGGGAGGTTCAAGCGAAGAAAGGTGGTTGCGAAGAAGCATCGAGCACTCGCAGCAGCACGCGGGTGCGGCTTTTGAGGCGCCTCAAAAGCGCGGCGCAGGTGGCAAAGGAACATGCGACCCAGAACCTGGTGAGAATGGGGGGGAAGGGTGGGAGAGACAAGGGAAGTTGGGACGAGGCACCCAGCACATGCAGCAACACTCAGGTGCGGCTCAGGTGCGCAGCATGCGACCCGGGCCCTAATGAGGATGCAGGAAGAGGATGGGAGGACTTGAGAGACAGGAAACGCAAGTGGCATCGAAACTTGCAACCCAAGCCATGCTGCCCTGCCCTCCCCCCCCCCCCTTCCCCTCCTCCCTCCCAACACTTCCCACCTCCCCACATACTCCATAACCCACGTAACCACCCCTCCCCAGTTCGCACCTTCCCCACATGCGGCCCTTCAAAACAATCAGGCCTGGCAGATCCGCCAGGGCAGTCATTCCCAGGAATCTAAAAACCTAAACCATTGGTACATTGCAATCCCATTGGTCAGTCCCTTTACCCTAGCTCCCTCACCTTCCCCCCACATGCGCCCCTTTGATCAGCCCTGGCGGATCAACCAAGGCATTCCCTCCCCAGGCTTACTACCCCCACCCCCCATCTCCACCAGTTCTCACCTTCCCCACATGCGCCCCTTCAATCAGCCCTGGTAGGTCTGCTAGGATAGGCCCCTCGCCGACCTTTTAACCCAGAGATCTATGTCCACCTCCCTCCCCCCTCCTCCACCAGTACCCACCTTCCCCACATGCGCCCCTTCGATCAGCCCTGGCAGGTCCGCCAGGCTAGGTCCAAACCCTAGAGTGTGTGTAACCCGCATTTCCACATACTCCATATCCCAAGCACCCCTCCCCAATACCCACCTTCCCCACATGCGCCCCTTCAATCAGCCCTGGCAGATCCGCGAGGGTAGGCCCATCGCCAAACCCGCCATCCGGACCAGCAGGATCGGCAGGCATGCGGCCCAGGTTCGGCATGAGGGTCGTGAAGGGGTAGTCTGCTATTTCCGGACGTGCTGCGGTTACCGCTGCTAGCAGGGACGATTTCCCTGCATTGGGGAAGCCCTGATGGGGGAGGAAAGGAGGAACGAGGAGTGGTGGGAGGGACGGGGAGAGAGGAGGGAGGTGGGGTAAAGGGGCGGGGGAGATAGCAGTAGCAGCATGAGAATTGTGAACGGGTAGTCGGCTATCTCCTGCCATGCTGCGGTTACAGCTGCTAGTAGTGAAGATTTTCCTGCATTTGGTTAGCCCTGATAGGAGGAGGAGGGGAGGAGGAGTGCCGAGTGGTGGGAGGCAGGGTGGCGGCAGGTGGGGTAGGGGCGGAATTATCAGCAACAGCATGAGGGTCGTGAATGGGTAGTCTGCTATTTCCAGCCGCGCTGCGGTTACTGCTGCAAGTAATGAAGACTTCTCTGCATTGGGGAAGCCCTGATGTGGGAGGAGGGAAATAGCAGCAGCACCATGAGGGCCGTGAACGGGGGTACTTGGCGATTTCTAGCCATGCTGCGGTAAAACCAGGGACGATTTCCCTGCATTAGGGAAGCCCTGGGATAGTGTTTGGATAGGAAGGCAGGAGTGGGCGGCAAGGGGATAGCAGCAGCAGCACCTCCAGCCACCTCTCCCCTCTCCCCCTTTTCTCATCCCTCCGTTCGCATTCCCCTCTTCTCATTCCCCCCTCCAATTCCCTGAGGCCTGCTTTCCATTCTTTTGAAATTTCTCAAAAGTGACTTCCATTCCCCTCCTTCCCTCAGCCACCACTCGCAGCGTCACTTCAAACCATCATTACTTCCTTCTTCCCTCCCCCACTTCTCATCCCCCTCCCTTCCCATCCCCCCCATTCCATTCTCCCCTCACAACCCCCTTCACAGCCCCCGCCTTCCAAATATCTCCTTCACAACCCCTCCTTTTTCCATGTCCCACATCCCCTGCCTTCCGTTTCCCTACCGCCACTCACCACAAGCCCCAGATCACCCACCACTCGCAGAGTCAGCTCCAATGCTACCTCCTCGCCCTTCCCCGCCTCGTTCCTTATGCCCCTCCTCTCACATCCTATCCCCCCCCATCAGCACCCCTCCTTTCACTCACCACAAGTCCCACGTCGGCCACCACTCGCAGAGTCAGCTCCAATGCTTCTCCCTCTACTCCCCCTTCTCATTCCCCTTCTTCCCTTCCCCTTTCCCTCTTCTCATCCCTCCCCCCTCTCTCCTTACCACAAGCCCCACGTCAGCCACCACTCGCAGCGTCAGCTCCAATGCTGCCTCCTCGCCTTGCAACCCGTACGTCAGTTGCTGTGGGCGTTTGGTGGATGGAAGAAACGGACGGAAAAGGCTGGGGATTGGTGTTCGTATTGATTCTCTTTTCTTATCCTTCTATTTTCCCATCGAACCTTTTATTTTATACGGTAATGACACTGTACTGGCTGATACTGTAATGTGTCAGGCTGTCAGCCACCCACCTTTTCCCCGACCTCCACCTTATCCTCCGGTGCGCTCATCACACTGGTGCCTGCGGGTGCCTTCACACGCACACACCCCTTACCGTATCACCCCACACTCCCACCTTATCCTCTGGAGCGCTCATCACTTTTGAGTCGACTCAAAAGTCACCTCGGTGCGCTCAGCTCCTCACTGTGGTCCCTGCGGGTGCCTTCACAGGATGCAGAGCTGGGAGTACAGACAGGCACCTATTGGCCAACCCCACCCGGTATGCTCACCCCTCTCACCCGCCATGCTCATCACTGTGGTTCCCAATGGTGCCTTCACAGGGCGCAGGTGGGCCCTGTTGGAAGCAGCAGGCAACCACCTACCCTCTCAACCCCCACCAACTGTCTTGAATACAGCCCACCTTGCACCCACCTTACCGTATCCCCCCTTTTCTACCCACCTTGTCCTCTGGAGCGCTCATCACTGTGGTTCCCAATGGTGCCTTCACAGGGCGAAGGTGGGCCTTGTTGGACGCAGGCAGCTCGTACACGCTGATCTGTGGGGATGCATGGGAGTGGAGAGATGTGACGCGAGATGATGTGCGTGGGAGTGGAGAGTTGACTTTTGAGTCGACTCACCGTGTGACATTGTAGCGAGTTGACTTTTGAGTCGACTCACCGTGTGACATTGTAGCGAGTTGACTTTTGAGTCGACTCACCGTGTGACATTGTAGCGAGTTGACTTTTGAGTCGACTCACCGTGTGACATTGTAGCGAGTTGACTTTTGAGTCGACTCACCGTGTGACATTGTAGCGAGTTGACTTTTGAGTCGACTCAAAAGTCAACTCGCACGGGAGTGGAGAGATGTGACGCGAGATTATGTGCGTGGGTTGTGCCTGAAATTACTTTTGAGGCGCCTCAAATGTGCGTGGGTTGTGCCTGAAATTACTTTTGAGGCGCCTCAAATGTGCGTGGGTTGTGCCTGAAATTACTTTTGAGGCGCCTCAAATGTGCGTGGGTTGTGCCTGAAATTACTTTTGAGGCGCCTCAAATGTGCGTGGGTTGTGCCTGAAATTACTTTTGAGGCGCCTCAAATGTGCGTGGGTTGTGCCTGAAATTACTTTTGAGGCGCCTCAAATGTGCGTGGGTTGTGCCTGAAATTACTTTTGAGGCGCCTCAAATGTGCGTGGGTTGTGCCTGAAATTACTTTTGAGGCGCCTCAAATGTGCGTGGGTTGTGCCTGAAATTACTTTTGAGGCGCCTCAAATGTGCGTGGGTTGTGCCTGAAATTACTTTTGAGGCGCCTCAAATGTGCGTGGGTTGTGCCTGAAATTACTTTTGAGGCGCCTCAAATGTGCGTGGGTTGTGCCTGAAATTACTTTTGAGGCGCCTCAAATGTGCGCGGGTTGTGCCTGAAATTACTTTTGAGGCGCCTCAAATGTGCGTGGGTTGTGCCTGAAATTACTTTTGAGGCGCCTCAAATGTGCGTGGGTTGTGCCTGAAATTACTTTTGAGGCGCCTCAAATGTGCGTGGGTTGTGCCTGAAATTACTTTTGAGGCGCCTCAAATGTGCGTGGGTTGTGCCTGAAATTACTTTTGAGGCGCCTCAAATGTGCGTGGGTTGTGCCTGAAAAAGCAGTAACCAGTCTTTGCTGGTTACAGCTAGTGCATGCATCAAGGCCCTTCACTAGGCGCAGGTGGGGCCTTGTTGGAAGCCGGCAGCTCGTACACACTGATATGAGGTGTGGAAGAATGGGTGGTGAAGGGGGGAGGGAGGGAAGTGGTGAAGATGGATTATAATGAAGATCATACGTGAAAGATAAAAGGAGACACAGCGCCCACACCAAAACCCTGACGAAAAACAAAACCTTGAAATTAACTGCTTCTGCTGTCCCCTCCTCTTCCTCCTCTCACCACCACCAGCTCATCTCCCGAGTTGCCAGACCTGCCAGGAAAGGAGGAGGAAACAGCAGCACCCTTACCAACCTTGCTTCCCCAACTCAGCCCCCTCTCCCCCTCCGTTTAGATCCTAGACCTAACTCACTCACCCCTCCTCGTCCTCCTCTCGCCACCACCACTTCATCCCCCGGGTTTGCCAGATCAGCCAGGAACTTGCCTCCCCGCTTGCGCTTCACCACCGTACCTGGTGGGTGGGTGGAGTGAGGTGGGGTGGGGAGAGGTTTGAAAGGGTGGGTAGGGATGGAAAAGCATGGAAAAGGGGTGGAAAGGAGCGGAGATTAAGGATCAGCCAGGAACATGCCTCCCCAATTGCGCTTCACCACCGTCCCTGTAAGTGTGTGTGTGTGAGGGGCTGGAGAAGACTTTTGAGACGTCTCAAAAGTCGTCAGTAAGTGTGTGTGTGTGTGTGTGGGGCTGGAGAAGGACGTGGGAGCCAAAAATGCGCACAAGACCCTAGAGTCACCTAGTCATTACAGGTGCAAGGACTCTTACCACAGGCATGCCTACTTGAACAACCTGCCCCTGCGAGCTGGTTTTTGAGAATTCTTAAAAACCTGCCCCTGCGATCCCTCAGGAACTCTCCTCGCTGCCAGGCCCCCCTTGGCGTCCCTATCCCCCGCCCCTCGCCACGTTGGGAAGAGAGAGAGGGGTGTCAGCTAGCTAGCACAGACAGACAGGGCTTACCCACGGGAACAGCTATTCTCAGCACAGGGCCCTGTAGTCCGTCTGGCACGCGTGGTCTGCTATGTGACAGCACAGGGCCCTGTAGTCCGTCTGGCACGCGTGGTCTGCTATGTGACAGCACATGGCCCTGTAGTCCGTCTGGCACGCGTGGTCTGCTATGTGACAGCACAGGGCCCTGTAGTCCGTCTGGCACGCGTGGTCTGCTACGTGACAGCACAGGGCCCTGTAGTCCGTCTGGCACGCGTCTACCCAAGCCCCCTGTGGCGTCCACGTGCCCTCCGCTCCTCGCCATGTGAGGGAGCGGGTGAGATAGAAAGGTCTCTTACCTACAGGGACAGCTATCCGAAGCACAGGGCCCTGCAAACCGTCAGGCCCTCTCCTCGCCAGCCCTCCCTTGGCGTCCACGTGCCCGCCACTCCTCGCCACGTGAGGGAGAGGGTGAGAGAGAAAGGTCTCTTACCTACCGCCGCACAGGGCTTACCTACTGGGACAGCTATCCGCCGCACAGGGCTATCCGCCCTCCCTTGGCGTCCACGTGCCCTCCTCCGCTCCTTGTCACGCTGGAAAGAGAGATAGGTGTCTGTTGCTAGTACAGTTCTCTTACCCACTGGCACGCCTATCTGAAGCACAGGCCCCTGCAAACCGTCAGGCCCTCTCCTTGCGAGACCTCCCTTAGCGTTCACGTGCCCCCCGCTCCTCATGAAGACAGAAAGGTGTCTGCTAGTGCATGTTTCTTACCCACAGGCACGCCTATGCGAAGCACAGGGCCTTGCAGCCCGTCAGGCCCTCTCCTCGCAAGTCCTCCCTTGGCATCCACGTGCCCACCGCTCCTCGCCACGTGAGGGAGAGGGTGAGAGAGAAAGGTCTCTTACCTACTGGGACGCCTATTCGCAGCACAGGCCCCTGCAAACCGTCAGGCCCTCTCCGTGCGAGACCTCCCTTGGCATCCACGTGTCCTCCGCTCCTCGCCACGTGCCGCTTCTTGCGGTGCAGAGGCAGCAGCGTGGAGAGGGAGGGGTCTGCGTGAATCACAATGTCTCCCCCATGGCCCCCCATGGGCACAATCGCCAGCCCATCGGCATCTCGCTTGAATGTGCCAACTCGTTTCATCGCTTTTGCCTTCTCTACTTCCTTCCTGTGGTTGGGTGGTGAGGAAGGGGGTGGGGATGGGACGGGGTTGTAGTATCAGCAACAGTGGCAGCAGCGAGGAGAAGGAGGGGTGGGCGTGAATCACAATGTCTCCCCCATGACCCCCCATGGGTACGATCGCAAGCCCATCGGCATCTCGCTTGAATGTGCCCACTCGTTTCATCGCTTTCGCCTTCTCCACTTCCTTCCTGCAGGTGGGGGTGGGAGGAAAGACACCGAGTGGATATGAAGGGGTTTCATCGGCAGAGGCAGCGGCAGGCAGCAGCGTGGAGAGGGAGGGGTCTGTGTGAATCACGATGTCTCCCCCATGGCCCCCCATGGCCCCCCATGGGCACAATTGCAAGCCCATCCGCGTCTCACTTGAAGGTGCCCACTCGCTTCATCGCCTTGGCTTTTTCGATCTTTCCTGCAAGTGAGGGGAGTGGGGTGGGGACGGGAAGGAGTTTCAGCAGCAGCAGCAGCAGCAGCAGCAGCAGCAGCAGCGTGGAGAGGGAGGGATGGGCGTGAATCACGATGCCCCCCCATGCGGACGAGGCACAATTGCAAGCCCATCCGCGTGCCTCTTAAAGGTGCCCACTCGTTTCATTGCCTTGGCCTTCTCTGCTTCTTTTCTACACGTGGGGGGATGGAGGAGACGGTGATGAGAGTGGGGATGGGCAGGGGTTGCAGCGAATAGCACACTCCCCCTCTTTCCTCACACTTACTGCGTGGAGAGGGGAATTGCGCCTCTCTCTCTCCTAATCCCCCATTTATCTTCACTCTCTGCCTTCTTATTAACATACATGCCCTTCCCCCACTCTCCCCCAGTTCTCCTCTCCCTCCCCCAGCCTCCTCAATCGGTCACTCCCCTCCCTCACCCTCCCTCACCTGCGAAGCTTCCTCCTCATTTCCTCCGCCTCTCTCGCGTTGAGCTTCCCTCCCTTCAGTCCAGGCGTCTCCCCCGCCTTCCAAGGCCGTGGGGGGTGCAGCACCGCACCATTCCCCCCATCCCCTGCCTTCACAAAAATGACCACCTGAATTCCGGAAGTAGAAACGAGGTATACAGGGATAGAGGGGAAACTGATCACCCCAGCCCAGGCGTCTCCCCCGCTTTGACGAATATCACCACCTGGGTGAAAGTGAAAATGGCCAGCCCAGGTGAGGAGGAAGGAGAAAGGAACACCAGCACCTTAACGCCATTGGAAACTGATTAAAGATTTTGACTCTCGTTGACCCAGCTTGCCCACACTCAGCCCTGGTGGTGCTACCCCCACCCCACTTCTCCTTCCACGGTTGTGGGGGGTGGAGTACGGTACCAGTACTGGCATGCTTTCATGAATGTCGTTACTCAAAAGGTGGACATGTATTGAACGCGTTATAATACCTTGCATGGTTCTGCTCAGGGGTTAAGGTTCGGGGTTTATACCAGAGTTTGACCATTAGAAGGGTTTGACAGTAAGAAGTCACCGTGAGCACACCTGGACACCACGAATTTCAAAGCGCAACGAAAATAATGCACGCCAGTCAACGAAGGTCAACGAAAGTCAACGGCGGTCTCACCTGGTCAAACAGTTTGTGCGCCTGCTTCAGCTCCTCCTCTCCTCCTTCGTCCTTCGCAGCCGCCTTCGTCGATCCAGCGCCAGCAGCCGCGGCAATGATACTATAACGAGAGCGATGCAGAATCTCGCTGTGCTGACCTGCGGGTGTGACTGTACGCGGAGTGAGTAAACCGGGGTGTAGAACATGACGCGAAGCTGAGTTTCTTGAACCAACTGCTCGTGTCTGCGTGGCAGAGGCTGATTGGCTGGAGATTCGCGAGGGAAGTTGAGCAGGAGCGCGCGGAGAAGGGGTTCTGCACGGCTTACACGAAATGCGCGAGCTACTCCTTGATCCTCGCGAAACTGGGGTTACTCTTAGCGACGCTCCGAAACTTAACCGGTCTGCATCGAAGCGCGAAGAGGGTACGAACGACATTCGCGACGCAGCTTGTTGCATTGCCGCCATGACAGCACGTGCTGCTGCTGCAGCAGTGTCAGCGACAAGTATCAGTTGGGTATCGTGAATCAGTTGTTTTCTCAGATCCTCGGGGGTTCACTAGTCCTAGTAGCGCTTCCCCAATACCGAGAACCCGCTTATTGCTCGAGCAGAGCGGAATGCTTCGGTAACTAATCAGCAGACAGCCTCACGAGAAGTTGACTCGTGTGGAAGAAAAGCATCGTGGAGCAAAGGTGAAAGCTTTTGAAAACGCACATTCAGCTAGGTTCGTCTCAATAGGAAGGTTTGGACAAGGAGCCCCAGCCTTGAGAAGAGGGGGAAGGCAAACTGCTGAATGTGAGGACGTGTTGCAAGTACGCTATCGGTTGCTCTCTAACCCGAACCTTGAGCTGCAGAACACTGTAGAGTCTGATGCCCGCACACCGAGCCGAGGTTCGAGTGTCACGCTCGGTATAGCGGTTCGGCAATCTTTCGGTTTTTGCAATTGCAACACGCCCTGAGGCTCGAAAAAACTTGAGTACACTATGCCGTGTTTCCGTGTGGAGAACGAGGTCAACGGGAAAATATGCCACAAGTAACCAACATGGGACTCGATAATATTCTATGAGTATTTCGTTAATATTTATATCGAATCGTTCTACACTTCGAGTAAGCACTTCTGTTTACAACAACAGCCAAAGCTAGCAATCAAGCAGTCCAATTTAGGGTTGGTTAGTAGTTTCAGCAGCAAGAATTCTGGGTGCAGCGTTGGCAGTAGCAGGCAGCAGGACCACACCGCCACTCCCGCCGCCGATCGCGCTGCGCTGTCTCGCGCTTTACAACCGCCATCCGCTCTTCCCATCCCATCCCGATTCCGCCCTTTTCTTCTCCGCGTTCGTCAATAATCCCCATCTCCACATCTCTCACACAGATCACTCTCGCGAAATCTCCCGGACCTCCTTCCGCCGTTCATTCGCTGTTCCTCCGCCGATCCCTTCCGCCATGGCTCCCCCCGCGGGCACCTCCCTCCTCGCGCGCGCGCGCCAGGCGCTCGCCAAGTACGTGCGCCCGCCGTGGAACTACACGGGCCCGACCGTGTCCGCGGAGTTCCGCGAGTCCGTCCCCGTGCTGGGGGAGTACCGCCCCTTTGCGCCGACCAACCCGCCCGCCAAGGCGTCGATTCCGCAGAGCGATCTCGACCGCGTCTTTAACATTAAGTACCACGACCGCGAGCGGCGCCGCGCGGTGTTCGAGACTAAGAAGGAAGAGCTGACCGTTGCGCAAATTATGGAGGGGATCCGCGGAGGCGGAGCGAGCGCGGAGGCTTCGGGGGAGGTATCGGCGGAGGCTGCGGGCGCGGGGGGGAGCTCAGGTGGAGGTTCCGCGGAGTACGCTCCTCCGACCCCTGGGAAGTTTTATTTTTACGGGCAAGAGCGACATCTGAACGATTGCCCTGGCGACGGTTACCAGAAGTGATGTGCGAATGCGTTGCAGTGGATTCTCGTCACATTCTTAGGTGATTCGTGGAGTGTATTTCTGGACACATCATAAGGGGGTTGAAGTCTAGTGTTACTGTACTGTTATCTTAACTATCGGTCCTGTTTCGACTGGGTTCTTTGTGATGTATGAACAGACTCTTTGTTGCACAAAACCCCTCTTCCTCCATCCATCCCCCCTCCTGCCCTTATTCTTTTTCCTCCCCCCCACTCCCCACCCCCCTCCCCCCGCCTCCCCTTCCCCCATCTCCCCATCACCATTTTCTCTAAACAACAACCCCTTCATCCTTGGACCCCTCTCCTTATGTATTTGCCCCTTCTCTATCCAATTGTTCGCTTCTTTCCTGATGTTCCTTTCCTATTTCTCCGTCGCTGTCCCACTTGTTCATTTTCTCTCGTATCGTTCCTTTTCTTGCCTACTGTTCCTTCCCTTCACTTCAATCATCACTGCCCTCCTCTCCCTCCTCTCCGTCTTCTTTCTCCTTCAAGAAAGGAATGAATTAGATCCTCTGTGAGCCTCCCATGAATGGTTTCTCAAAAGGCCAATTTTTTAGATTTGCTTTTTTTCTTTTTGGGAGCCTGCGTCGCTGTCCTACTCGCCCTCCTTGCCCCTTTCCCTAATCATCCTCCGCTCCCTCATCTTGCTCCTCGCCCTCCTCGCCCTCCTAGCCCTCATCTCCCTCAACTCCCTGTTTCCCCTCCAGTCGTAGGGTGAGTCTCGCCCTCATTCTAGCCCCTCTCTCATCGACATCTGCGTCTCAGATCTCGTTCTTCCCTCCTCCACTCCCCTCCCATCGATATGTTGCAATATATTCCTATGAACTCTGATCAGGCTCATGTCCAGGCGCTCACATTCGTGAATCTTGCCGCACCATGCTGAACCGCATTGAACCAGCTCGAGTCAGATACGCCCTGGACAGAAGCGCACGATTCTGATTAGAGGCGAGCTTTGTCAAAATGTTATACTGCTTATATTGTGTAGACTGTAGTGGGGTAGCCCATAAGGGGTACAACCCAATTAGGGTTAGTACTGTTGGAAACAACTAATTTAAGCACCTCTGTCGCGTCGAAACACTAAGACAAGAGCGAAGCAGATCGTATCGAAACATCGGTGAGTCAACCCTCGGAGGTTGAACAACTGCTGGAGGTTAGGCGAAAGTCAAAGGTCAGCGACCTTTGACCTGACGAAATGTACAGTGCAACAGCAAGGACATATAACTGACTCGTTACAGAGCAGTTACCCGAGTCGGCACTGTATCGAACCGCAACAGCAAAGCAGTTAAAATAGAACCTTTTCATATTCCTTGTAATCATATAAAAGCTTGTATCTTCTTATTATTATCAACTTACTTTGTTCTCACAAACCAGTACAAGGTGGTTCAACAAGTCTTTATTAAAACGCTTCCGCTACTACATCATCCTACTCTTGAATTCTGTCCTGTAAATATCATAAGGGCCTTCTCAGCCCAACATGGTATGAGAGCAGTCAGGGCAAATTCGACTACAAACAAGATATCTACAACATCACAAGACATGGCAACGCAGAAGGAGAGAAGTTACTCTAACGGCTCTCCTGGCACTGCTCCTACTCCACCTCCTGCCTCTGGCCTACAGACAGAGGAGGGTACGGCAACAAGACCAAGGGCATCGTCTTCGGAAACTCCCGCTAATCAAGCTGCGGCCTTCGATCCAGACATGATGGAGAAGTTCTTCTCCTTCATGTCCTTCTACGAACAGCACCAGCAAGGGGCACCTGCACAGTCAAACAACAGCAACAACAACAACGCAACACCAATGAGCCTAGATGGTTCATCGTACGCACGCGGAAATCAACAGCAACGGCCTACCTTTGCTCCGTATGAGCCCCAGCGTGGCTCCGTCAGCTTTATGCCACACCCGCAGCCTGCATCCGGACAAGAAAAGACACTGGATGCACTTCAAGTTCAGTCGCAGTTCGCGCACGTCTTAAAACTGCAAACGACAAAGCCTTTCGACGGAAAGGACTTCTTTACCTGGTCATTCGAGTTCGAGCTTATGATGGAAGGCGCAGAGATCCTTGGCTTCTTCGACGGGTCCCTGCCATTTCCAACACACGGCACACAGTACGATAAGCAGCAGTACACGTATCAGTCAATGATGGCGTACACAATACTGCTGAGAAATATCACTCCAAGTCAGCAGCAGAACATACGGTCTTACCGGGGTTACGGCAACTCTGCAGAGCTCGCGTACAACCACCTGAAGAACCTGTATCAAGCAACAGACAGCGTAAATCAAAGTCGGTTAATGGCGCAACTGACGACAGTCGAAATGAAACCAGGCAAAAAAGGGATGGCGTATATCAGCCGTTGTCGCGAATTGCGCGACAAACTCCTTCGATGCGGAGGATCGATTTCAGAAGACGCCTTCGTCACAGTCATCATCGGCGGCCTCGGTCCTCAGTGGCGCTCCACCCGCGCCATACTCCGAGCGCATGGAAAGATATCAGAAGCAGCACTCTGCGCCGAAATCCATGCTGAGCAGCAAGATATGGACCTGCAAGAGGAACGACACAAGAAGAAGGCATCAGTGCCCGAATTTGCATTTCACACTCAACGACGCTACAACAACAACAATCGGCATCAACCGAAACCAGTACCTCCGTTCTGTCACCTTTGCAAGATGTCAGGGCATCCTCGCTCACACTGCCCTAACCGACAACAGTCAGTACCAACGCAGCGGCAGCTTCGGCCTTCAAGCAGTCAAGTTGCCTCAACGCAAGCGAGTTCGACTTCTCAAGTACAAGCCTCAACGACATCGACGGGACAACCTGCGCAAGGAACAAGAAACATCGTCAGTTGCATGACACGACTGACTGACTCCTGTATCACAGAATCACCACCATATTACTCACCGGAAGAGCAACTCGACAACAGCACGCCTCGCCGCGAGTCACTTCAACCAAATCCGACGTATGCAGCTATCGCTCAAAGCGAGCCGTCCGGAAAAGATACGTGGTTCTTGGACAGCTGCTGTGGACAGCACATGTGTTCCTCAGGACGTTTTGTTCAACGTGAACACCAACTTCAACGCGAAGTTGTCATCACCGTCGCCAACAATCAGAACCTGCGCACACGACGACAAGGTGTAGTGCAACTTCAGTCACGAGAGACAAACGTTATACTGCAAATGTCAAAGGTTTTAATAGCAGAGGGACTCGGTTACAACTTACTAAGCGTCAGCCAACTAATGGCGAAGGGGATCCATCTTGAAGCAGACAGCACCACACAGGAGTTCAAGCTCTTCCACGGTCGAGGGGGACTCTACATCGGCAAAGCAGTACTGAAAAACAACGTCTTCGTCCTCGACTTCGTCCCAGATCTTGGCACTGCCGACAGCGACGGGATTGTCACCTTTACTTCTTGGACACATCCACCGGATCTTGACCCCGACTTCAGTCCAGAAGGCTTCTGGTACTCGCACACCATCCCTGAAGCAGAACGAACAAGAGCATTAGCAACGATTCAACACTCGGCAGCAGCAGAAAGAACATCGGCAGCAGCAGAAACAACATCGGCAACAGCAGAAACAACATCGGCAGCAGCAGAAACATCGGCAACACCAACAACACTTACAACACCAGTCGCAAGTTCTTCAACGACATCGCTACACATCGACAATACTTCACCGACTCCTGCGCAGCAGCTAACTCCCACTCCTCGCGAAGTTCACAGAAGCGCCAACTTCACCGCCGCCTTTTACTCCAACTCCGACCTGTATCGTCGTTCACCCGGACATCGTGCTAGCGAAGACATCTGGCACGCACGAATGGGACATCCAAGTAATACGGTGTTAAACAACACAATCAGAGCAGGAGTCCTCGACAAAGATTCACTGCTTCTAACCGACGGAAGTGAACTTCGACGAGCGCGAGGAACGTGTTTTACCTGCCCCGAAGCTGACTTACCGCATCGACCTTTTACTTCTCACCACAACCCCAGCGCACCAGCTTACGCACCACTTGAAAAGGTGTACAGCGACATCCTGTACAATCGCGAACCTGGACAAGGAGCATACAGCTACATCATCACGTTCATCGATGCCGCTACACGTTACGTTTGGCACCTTAATCTCCCGAGCAAGGACATGGCTTTCGAAGCCTTCATCGCTTGGCTTCCAGTAGCAGAACGAGAATCGGGTGTGAAGCTCAAAAGCTTCCAGTCAGACGGAGGAGGAGAATACACCTCACAGAGGTTCAAGCAGTTCTTGGCAGAAAGGGGAATCAAGAGGCTCATCTCGCTTCCTTACGCCCATCAACAGCAAGGCGTGGCGGAACGGATGAATCGAACTCTCCAGAACACCATGCGCAAGTTACTGCGTGGCATGCGACTGCCCAATCACCAGTGGCCTGAAGCGACCGACCACGCTGTCATGCTGCACAACTTGCTTTCGTCGTCGTCACTACCGAACAACGCATCACCGCACCTGCTGTGGACAGGAAAACAGGGCAGCACAAAAATGTTAAGAGTTTTCGGTTGCATGGTACAGTACCGACCCCCATCTACACGAGCCGGCCGATTTTCCCAACGAGCACAGTGGGGACTACACCTGGGCATCGAAAGAAATTACAACGCGTGGAAGATTTTCGACGTCCACTCCAAAGAAACAGTAGCAGCACGTGACGTCATTTTCTACGAACGACTCACCCTTCCGACATATCTTGCCAACCTGGAAGAAGATCGGGATCCCACAGGTGGCTTCCGTGGTGACCGACACTTCGCCTCGACAGCAGACAAAGCTGACTGGGACGAGCAGAATGTGGATAACGCCTCAGACGAAGCAGGACCACTCCCATACTGCTCCGTTCCTATCCCGATGGATGACGAAAATCCTCGCGAAAGTGTCAACGCCGAAACTTATTTCGACCTCGCCGACACTGGTTACGTTACACCTGCAGAAGTCAACACCAACGAAGCAGAACGCATAGGGCCCAATTTCATACCTGACCCAGAAGCAGGTGACGAAGCAGCTCATCCCGCGGACACAACACTCCCCCGCTACACACAGAGTGGCCTTCAGATACTTGGTCTCGTCACCGCGGTCCACGGCACGGATACTCCTAAGGAGCCTGCCACAGTTCAGCAGGCTCTGGGGGGGGAGCATAAGGAAAAATGGCGTGAAGCCATGGACAAGGAACTGAAAGCACTACAGGAGCGCAACACCTGGAAAATTGTTCCTATCGGCGTGGCACAAAACAAGACAATACTCACCGGGAAGTGGGTCTTCCGTGTAAAGACGAAAGCAGATGGCACCATCGACAAGCTCAAGGCACGATGGGACGTACGTGGCTTCGACCAAGAGCATGGACGCGATTTCACCGAGACATTCGCACCGGTTAGTCGACACACCTCACTACGGATTCTTCTCGCGATCGCCGCTATGAAGAAAAAGAAGCTGCGGCAAATCGACGTTGCCAATGCTTTTCTCTACGCACCTGTCGACGCAGAAATCTTCGTCGAACTTCCACACGGTTCCCATGGAGAACCTAACCAAGTCTGCCAGCTACTGAAGTCCTTGTACGCGATCAAACAGGCCCCGAGACTGTGGCAGCAGTACTTACACGCTCGACTCACTCGCATCGGTTTCCGGCAGCTACCACACGACCAAGGAATGTACCGGCTCACGAAAGGCGACGACTACATTCTACTAATCGTCTACGTAGACGATTTGCTTTACATCGGGTCGACCGACAACGTTACTACCTGGTTCGAAGGGGAGCTACAAAACGACCTCACCCTCACGGTATCATCTACCGTCACGCAATACCTGGGTCTCAACATCC